TAATTATCGATAAATATCGATACCATTAGAACGAGAATGCTTTGTTAGGTAAACTAGAGAAAAATAATATAAGTAGCTATTGACATTTTAAAAATATGTCGGGAAATAAATTTTGTTCAGTTACTTTTTGCAAAATACAGACATTCAAAGCTGTTATATCTCAACCTCAAGGCATCGTGAAACTGATTAGAACATGTGGATTATTATTTTAAAGGTTTTAATGTTTGTGGACAGACCTTCTTCAAATAGTAAACCAAAGTTTTTTTTTACAGACAGATGAGAAATATGTATCATTAGATGTTAGCTTTGGCAACTAAAATATGTGTAATATGTATTATTTATAATTATTTCTAGTTTCAAATATTTATAAACTAGATTCAAAACGATGATGAAAATAATGATGATAATTGCAAATTAGTTTTGAAGACAACATTACATAAACTCATAAAATATATCAATGGTTTTAATGGTAGGATATGATAACTGATATTAGCAGTTGGTGTTCAGTTAGATATTAAAGAAGCAAGACTTAATATCCACTATTACTTTCTTGGTGGTTAAACACTACAATGCAGGAATTTTTAGAAAAATATACTCGTGAGTAATTGACAGTCTTAAAAAAATAATAAAAAAATAACTAACTTAACTAAAACTTAAATACTCTTTTTTACATAGAGTTTTTATGACTTTACTAACATAAATTTTCATATTAGAAATTTAAATTCATATGTTTTTATCAAAATAAATCCAATTAGTACCATTAATTGCTTAACTACAAGATTAGTCAAAATAATGTAAAAAATTAAAATATTTTTTTCTATTAAAAACTTGCATTTGAATCCATGGATTATATAGTAACTGGGTTTAAATCTAAGCCGATCAACGTTATATTAATAATATAATGCATACATATTTAGAAATACTTATATTTATATATCAGGCAGAATTATTGTTAATTTAAAAAATTCCATTTATAAGAAGTTCTATTTGATCACTCCTCAGGTATATAATTTTTACCAATCGGTTGTTTTTAGTGGTAGTTACCATATATAGATAGACAGATACATAGACATAGATAGATAGATAGATAGACAGATAGATAGATAGACAGATAGATAGATAGACAGATAGATAGATACTTTTTTATTTCAAAATTTTTTAACAGTATTATACCTTAAATGTAATAAAAATTGGTTGGAATTACTTAAAAATATATTGAAAAATAAAGAATATGATAATAACTTGTTAGTCGTCTGTCAGAGGTGTTGGATTTATATAAATTTGCATTCTAGCTTAAAACTATTCACAATTCCAAAATGAAAATATAAAGAATTTAAAATGATCGCTTGTTTTAAATGTTAATTATGAGTATCAAATTCGTTTATAATTAGTTTTCTGTATTTCAAAGTACTAGTTAATCAATCTTTTCAAATCGGGATCATTTTTCTTATTAAGCACACTGATTACTTTCTCTTCCACTAAGTCTCTTCCATTAAGTTTTATAGTTACAACTCAAAAAATTAAAAACATAATTATGGGATATAGTTATTCGATATTGCTCGATGCGTTTTACCAAAAGGTTTATATGAAAGTTTTATTTGCAATTCTATTAAAATGGCTATTACAGATTAAAATAAACAGATATAAATAAATAATTCAATTAATAGGTTTTGTTGAGCAGATAAAGTATATCTGACACATTTTTAATGGAGTTTCATTTGACATATTTTCTTTACTGCATAACGATATATATCTGTAAATTTATTATACCCTTTCATATAGTATTCATATAGTATGTTATGATATGTAATGTGTAATAAGTTGCAGTTACATAAAAATGAAAAATATTGTATACTCATATAATCTCACAGAAACTTAAGCTTTCTATAAAAATATTCCTCAATTTCTATTGAAATTTTAATATTTAATTCTACATTTCTTATGTATGTATATCAACAAAAGAAAGTATATGTATGAATTTATACATAAGAAAACGTGAACAATGAAAATGAATGATATGAGGTTTTGACTCATTAAATTAATTTAAGATGCGTCATTATAGGAAAATAACTAAAACTATTTAATGTTTCATGTTCTTGAGTTATAGATTAACACGCTTTAAAAGTGATATAATTTTAAATAAATTTTTTATGTACTTACTTGCAGTTTATATAGGTTATAAAAGTTTCCAAAAGGAGCTGTATATTAAAACCAACCTTTTAAAATTTTGATAATTGTAACATATACCATATATACCTTCTGCTCAAAAAGTATCCGGATTTTGTTGTTTGTTAACTACTCCTTAAGTAATAGACCTTTTTCAAAATTTTTTTTTTGTTATGTTGGTACACCCTTTCTTGACATATGGTACAAATTTGAGCGCCATCTGTCAATTAAATTGTTTACAGCAGCTGTTAATGTGAGACTACCTCAAGCATTTAGCGATTTTTACTATGGAAAATTCTTGTTGTACGCGATTTTTTGACCAAAGACGGCACCACTGTCATCGCTCAGGCACCATATTCGCCAGATCTGGATCCGTGCGATTTTTTCATGTTCCCGAAACTCAAACTGCCCCTTCGTGGTAAGCGTTTTGAGTCGATTGAATCGGTAAAAGAGAATTCGCTGAAGGAACTAAAAGCCATACCTTCACGGGCCTACGTAAAGTGTATGGAAGATTGGGTTAAGCGTTGGCATATGTTTATCGCTTCAGAAGGAACATATTTTAAAGAAGATAAAATAAATTTGAAATAAAATTTTAATTTGTGTGTTTTATTTACAAAATTCGAATACTTTTTGAGCAAAAGGTATGTAAAAAAGAGTACGTCTCAGTTTGTTTTACCAATTGTAAGATTAAATTCCTTTTCAATCTTTTTAGAGTTTGACTATATATGAGTACATATAAACAGATACACTCTACTTTTAAGATTTTCACATTTATTGTATTTCATATCAATCAATACTCCGTTAAGATTGTTTAATATGAAATATAGTATATTTTTTATAATATATAATATATTTTTTATAATATATAATATATTTTTTATAATACATAATATAATTTTTATAATATATAATATATTTTTTATAATATATAACATCTTTGATATAAAAGCTGTTATATATTTGTCATTACATTTTTTTAAGAATATTATTTAATTCAATTTGAGTGATTCAATCGATTTAAAAAAAAAAGAGTAATTGACTTCTTATTATCATGTATTAAATATTTCATTAAATAAACTTTACTTAATCATTTTATTTTTTATATTTTTTGTAAACTAATATTTGTCATAAAGTTCGTGGAAAATTTCACCATCAGTTTTTTCATGCTTAAATGAAGTCGTTATTATTTTTACTTGTCATTTGTCAATTTTGCAATTTTCTATTTTTATAAATGCATATACAATACTCATAATATTTTTATATAAAAAATAAAGAAAAAGTAATTCATTTAATTTATGATTAACTCATAATATATGCCTCATTTTGCCTTTGTTTAAACAGTACGAAGCGATAAAAATAAAATAATTTTCAACATTTCTTATCTGAGTTACAATTAAAAATGCGTTTAACTCATAAAAAAATAATATGAGTTTTTTAATAGTTTCTTATTTTTGATTTCATTCACTTTTCATTTTTTAATCATTATTTATCTTTTTTTTAATGTTTCTTTTTTGTGAGATTGTTTATTTCAACACAAATTATTCATGTCTTTCCACAAGCTCTTCTACTATTCCATCAAATACTTATGCGCACACATATATAAGGAAAAAGTATCTCATATTTGTAATTCAAAATGTGCAATTGGCAATCCGGTATCGGATTTTTATAGCACTTCATTCCTAAGAATTGCAGCGATAAATGCAGATAAATGCTTTGCAAATGACTGATGTTTGGAGCAAATGAAAAACACAATCAGAAGTTAGCAGACAGACGTCAATGCATTAATCTTTTGTGAGGCTTTAAACCCCTTAGATTTAATTCTATTAGAATATGGAAAGAAATAGTGCATTAGTAAATTCAATTGCGGATTTAATAATCTTGTGTAAACACTGCTTTGGCACTGAAAAATTCATAAAATTTGAATGTTGCAATAAAAATTTTATTATTAAAAAAAATATTTTCCCAAAACACTTAAGGCAGATTTACATTTTTAGAAAAAAATATTTTTTGCTTGAATGAATGAAATATTTCATTTGTTAAATTATAGCAAATTTTTGTTTTATAAACAGACATTTACTTAACCAAAAATGCATAACTTTATATTAATTTATGTTATATAGAATAAATTTAAATGTTCCATGGCTGAATTCATCCCATTTCTTTGGGTAAGGAATGCAATAATATTACAGAATTAATTGTAATTTTATTTAAGCTTTGTATAGTTTAAGAATTTAAATAAACTAAAATAATTCACATAAGTTATTCTCATAAGTTGAAGGTTACTGTAGATCTGGTGTAATAATTAAGATACAATATATAATATGCATTTTAAATCATTTTTGCAATTTGTGTTTCTTTTGAAATTTTAATAAAATTAAATTTATTATGGTTTATAAAAAAAAATACTGCAAAAATAATAAATCAATTCCTATTTGAATTTCAAAAATATTTCCTGTATTTTTTGAAAGCAGTCAAAATATTACCAAAAAATCGAATAAAGTTTATTGCAAATTCTTACTATCTTTTATATATGCATATATTTTTTTTTTGGTAAATGAAAAACATTCTTACCAGAAGCTGTCAATTTTACGAGATGCCCTAGAATTTCATTTTGGCTGCAGTAATGCACTTGTCTCATATGAAAAAAAATGCAACTTTATTTCGTGGTTTACGTATATATAGAAGTATGAGCTTCGTTCATACTTATAAATATATATATACATACATATATATATATACGTGGTTTACGCTTAAAATGAAATTCTTTTAACAGAATTTAAATAGCAGTAAAGCAGCTTAAAAATGTTTTTCCTTCACATGTTATACTCACTCACTTTAATATCCTTACTGGCTCATATAGTTTGTTATAGAAATCTGAAAACGATTAAAAAAGATTATTTTAGCTTATTTGTGCAAGAGTTAAGTAATTAAATAAGTGTATTATAAAATTAAAAAATTTCTATTTTTTAAAAAGTTTTTGTAAAAATTAATTTATAATGTTAATTTTTTCTTGCTGAGAGTGATGCTTCTTTATGGCGCAAAGAAACTATTTAAAAGTTAGACCAATTCGAATAGCAAGAAAAAGACAACAACAAAAATTTAGTTAATTTATTGAAATTTGGCTGAGCATACAATGTTGTTTCGACTATTGCCACGTACTCATCATCAGTCATCATCATCATCAGCGTTACAGCTCGGGGTGGGCTTTAGCTGCATCAACCAGCTTTCTCCATTCTCCTTTGCATGATGTTTTAGATCTCCAGCTTTGTATACCCAATTTCCTGATGTCTTCAGTCACGTTGTCGAGCCATCTTATACGTGGTCTACCTCTGCTGCGGTCATTATACGGCGTGAAATGGAGTATTCGCTTTTGTGGTCTATCGTCCGGCATTCTCATGACGTGTCCTAACCATCTCAAGCGTTGCGATTTTGCGAACTTCACCACGTCTTCACCATCACAAAGTTGTAGTAGCTCAGCATTCGTACGCCGATGAAATTCTTCTTGATTCAGGCGGATGGGACCATAAATCTTTCTCAGCACCTTTCTTTCGAATGTTCTAATTTGGTTTGGTCATCTGCTGTCGTTAGAGTCCACGTTTCGGCCCCGTAGCATAATACCGGGCGGACGATTGCCTTGTAAGCGTGTAGTTTGGCACATCACGATTTTAGATTTGAAGATTTTTGCGTGTCCGTAATAATTTCTGTTTGCTGCTACAATTCTGTCTTGTATACTAACACTGATTTCATTGTTTTTATTAATAAGGACACCCAAGTATTTGACGCTTTCAACTTCTTCAAACGTGAACTCACCAACTTGAAAGGGCTCTAAAATTCGGCTGTGCATGTTTCTTCCAACCCTCATATATTTTGTTTTGTTCTCATTAATGTTTAGCCCAACTATCTTAGCTCTAAGTTGTGATCATCAGTGGTCTTAGAAAATATTCGAATTTATTTTAAAATAGTTTAAAGTTCACATGATCGCGACAACATCAAGCGAAATTGGTCGTGAAAGGTTTGGCTGTGTGTTTGGTGGGATTGACAGTGAAGCGAAACTCTTAACTCAGAATTGTACTGTCAACAATTACACCGTTGGTTCGTCTGAATTAAGCAAACACCCAGAAACCGTCAGCTTTGGGCAATAGGTGAGGAATTGTGTTCCATCGCCAAATCACACTCATCGATAATGACTTGTCAAAAACTCCGGAAGCTTAGTTGAGAAGTTCTTATGCATCAATCGTATAATCCAAATTTTGGCATTAAGGGATTTCCGTCAATTTCTGTACATGCTGTACGATTCACTTCAAAAGAGGTTTGTGAAAGTCGACTGTCTAAATTTTTTGTCAATAGGGACGAGGACTTCTATGACAGAGGCATAATAAATGTAACTTCAAAATAGCAATAAGTTATCGAACAAAATGGCGCATATTTAACCTAAATCGGATTATTCTAACTATAGTAAATAAGCTTTAATTTTATGCAAAAATAATGGATTTTTTTTAGTGCATCTGAGCACTTTTACTCTTTGATAGTTGCGGAGTTTCTGCAGAGTCCTACCCTTCTCACTGACTAATTTATGTATTATATATATAGATTATATATACAATGATGCAATAACGATTTACTTACATGTACTATTTTTTATATGTGAACTTTTTTAAAACAAAATGCAATTTGCATATTAAATGCATATAACAGCAAATAAACTTTACTTTACACTCAATTAAGTTTACAAAATGCACATAAATAATTTAGTTATTCAATTAACTAATAAAATAATAATTAAATACTTGAGTACATGCCTCAAATGGAAAACAATAATTTATACTTGAATTATTTTAAATCCAATTAGGGATCAATAGTTTCTGGCTAAATACTCGTAAAAGTGAGAATTTTATTGTTTTAATTTTATATCGTACTTTGGACTTATTCCAGCCTTTGGACTTATTATAAATACCTTATAAAGTTTGTTGAAATCAAAATTTAGGTTACAAGGATACGAAAAGCCTTTCACTCTTGTGAAGTGTAAGTAAAACAAAATAGAGTTTAATGGTTAAAACGAAAAGATATACAATAAAGAAACATATAGTTGTGTACATAAGCGTCTAGATAAAAACATTCTATACAAGCTATTCATCATATACAGATATATATACATACATGCATATAATCTTAAGTAAAGTACTAAATAAATAAAATGTGTAATTTAAAAACTTGTATTCAAATTGAAAGCAAGCATCCTTTGACCGATAAAGAGAAACAATCGCTTGCGCTTTTGTTAACTGGAGTGTTTCATTTAAATGTCATTTAACTTAGCACCCCAAGATTTGTAACAGAACTCCATTGCATCAGCATCCTTACGATATTCGTGTGCCATGATTTTCGAAGGAATATTTTGTGCAGGCATAGACAAAAAGCTACGCATAAAGTCAAATACTGTGCCGATTTAACTCCAAGTTTTCAGTTTCACATCCTCTTTGTAAGCAAACATATGTAATATTTTTTGAATGAGTGGTTGTGTGATTTCACTATCACAAGCCCAGTCTTTATATAGAACTATGCTAAATAGCATATAAGTTGAAAATGAACAAAAGCACTCGAAAATCATTTTACAGTGCGTTCGTGCGGAAATGTTCCAGGAAAAAGCCGGAAATGCTTCCATGACATAATGTATGATAGCCCAGCGCTAGGCGATATGACAAACAAAGCTTATAAATGCTAATACAAACTCCAACTGTGTAAGCTCCAGCTTTTGTACAAATGTACCTCATAGTTAGGGCGGCTCTATATACTTCTATACACTCATACTCAGGGGAACAAAATTTCTTTGATATTTTTGCATATGTAAACGTAGTGTGGCAATGGCTCGACATATTTTTGTATTCTGTATATTTGCAGGAATTAAAAATTTTATATGTAAATGTGCGTACAAATATAAGTTCATTTTTGCGGTTGATATTTTTAAGCAGCTTAAATATACTGTAAGGAAAATTAGTTGTTTTCATGTAACAATTGTTTAAAAGTTCGAATTGCACAATTTTATTGCAGATTATTTTAGAACTCTACATAGACAGGAAGTCGTTAGTTAGCAGATATTAAATGTATAGTAACGTTTAAGTTTAAAGGAATAGACAATAAATGTTTCAATAACATCTGTGACAGTGTGTTAACGTCCTAAAAATATATTATGATACTTTTATTTTGCGATTAAAATTAAACAAGAGTATAAAGGATTTTCCTTATTAAATCGCATAAGTGTATTAAACCAAAATATAAACGACATCGTCTATATATTATAGAAATATTTAATTTTAATCAAAATAAGAGGTTTTTAAGAAAAACCTATCAAAAAACAAGAACATAAGTCAATAGCGCTTAATATCTAAAAACTGTTCATTCAAACAGTTTATTCAAGAAGTTTTAATCAATCTTTAGATCATTCAACAACCATTGCAGCTATTGCTCTTTGCATTCGCTTTCAAAAAAAGAAGGATATCGTCTGAGAGAGTATGGAAATATTTAATATTCATCAAGTTAAGACGCAATCGCTCTTTGCATTCGCTTTCATATCCCTAATATATCAACGATTATTGCAGAGAAAGAAAGATCGATACGCTTGCGTTACGTTGATGCTTTCATATCTGGAATATATTAATGATTATCGCATGGAAAAACACTATAGTATGATCAAATAGCTTTAAGGCATCACATCGAGTTTATTGAATTTAGTTTATCCAAAGGTCTGCCTTTCTCTCTTTTTGCTTTTAAGAAAGAGAGATGACATTTTCATTTAAAAAGAAACGTATTGATTCGATAATAATAAAGTCGCGTAGTACAACGATACTACTCGTATATTCGTGATTTGTGAAGATATTACAAAAAATATTAAATTATTGGTTTACTTCTTATAAGGTCGCACATTAATCCGAACCCAATTGATTTGTGAGTTTGTGCCACTTAGTCGACAGGTCTCTTTCTCATTATCTTACTTCTTTTTATTAAATAAATATAAAAAAGAATTTAACATCCCAGACGATATCTAAAATTTTGATTCATATTCACCTTCGATACTGACTAAATCCCTCGCTATATAACGTATCTCAGATTAATGCATAACAGCGACTGATTTGTTTAAGTTCCCTAATACTTATTTTAATGCAGATTGATTTTACTTTATACATTATCATGGAGGTAAATAATAAATTTAAAAAAGATTCTGGGATATATTACAAGTACTTCTATTTTTTTTTTTATAATTGATCACATATAGTGGTACTATAGGTGATCACTATAGTGGTACAAAACACATGTCGGATATGTAATAAATTGTAATATCTTGCTATATCCTTCGACTTCTAATAGTGTTTTGAGTTTCTCTTACAAAGTATTATTAACGTTCTTCTGACAATGGTCTTTTGTAACTTTGTTGTGAAAGTCTTATTTTATCTGCTGTAAGTACGACTTTAATACTTGTTAAAAGGTCTCATGTCTCTTAGAGGTTCTTGCAAAAAGTATTTCTTTACACTTCCAGAGGTCTATAGATTGCGCATTTTATGTTAATGTTGGTTTTGGTGGAGATATTTTTAATATACGTTTAAAAATACATATACCTTGCCAAAAAGTTCAACGCCTATATGTCCATTCTTAAAATGGACATATAGGCGTCCAATTTTGCATTCTTAAAATAAAGTGCTGTAAATGGGACATTCGATATATATTTTAGGGGAAGATGACAGTTCAATGGAGCACCCACATCTTGTCAGAAAGTTCAACACCTGTATGTGTTGATAGTGACAGTAAATATGACATTCGATATATAGGTATATTGGAGGACGTTGGGAATCCAATATGTGATATATGTTTTCTAATTTCAAAGA